ATCTCAGTTATTGTATGAAGTAGGTTTGTGAAATTTGAAGCGTCGATATAATGACATAAGAGCTAGAATTAAGGCATATTGACATGTCGAAGTTAACTTCCGGTCTGACCAGAAGTAACATCAACTTTCTTATTCTTAATGGAAACCCTATTTTTTTTTCTTTTCGCTTTATTCAGCATTCAATTCCCTTTCTAATGACATATCACAAGTTGGTATCTAACCAGAAACTAGATCAGAAAAAAAATATTTTCGAAATTCACCGAGTAGGCCGTGGATGCGAAATGAAAGCCAAAAAATGACTTTTTATTATATCATTAGAAAGGAATGGTTATGCTGAATAATACAGGCAAGGAAAAGTTGTATGTTCCTATTTAAGTTATGGACCTACAGAGTATTGTTTTTTTCCCAATTTTTCCAATATTTTTTTTGGCAGCTTTTTATAACGCCGACGAATGAAAATAAAAATATCACAGTAGTAGCAACTGCTATCAAGTGACGTATGGTTTCCACAGCCAACTTTTCAATTTTTGGCTTTCATTTTGCTTCCACGGCCTACTCGGTGAATTTCAATAATAATATTTTTCTGATCTAGTTTCTGGTTAGATACCAACTTGTAATATATCATTATTAGAAAGGGAATTGAATGCTGAATAAAGCGAAAAGAAAAAAAAATAGGGTTTCCATTTAAAATAAGAAAGTTGATGTTACTTCCGGCCAGACCGGAAGTTAACTCCGACATGTCAATATGCTCAAATTCTAGCTCTTATGTCATTATTTCGACGCTCTAAATTTCACAAACCTACTTCATACAATAACTGAGATATCCCGTAGGCAATACTTCCGTAGCCACTCGGTATATTCATTATACAGGATTACTGGTAAATCCATACATTCCTTTAGAGATGTGATATGGGTATGATATGATATGGTAAGGAGTGAATTAAACCCTAATATGCATTATGCAAATGTTAATAGTTTTCAAAATATTAATTTGTTTTTGTTTTTCTCCAGAAGGTAGACTTTGATGGTTTAAAAGTTGGTTTCCTGAAAATCTGATCTACATTTTTTCAACCTCTTAACTAGAATACATGATCAACACTATGGTCATATGTTTAGAATAAGAAACTGCGCAGTCAATGTCTGTCATAGTTCACATGTTGATCCTGATCCTGAATCACTATACTTATTTATAACTCTATAATTCCGAAACGGGTGTTCTCAGGCCCATGCTATCATATATCATTGAATTCGTCTCTCTTAGCTCTCTCCAAGGATGAAATTAAATGAAGGGCGTTCAATTCGAAAATTCCGAGGAAATGTTCGGTTTGCAAAATACGTCATCATGGCTATGGTTAATTCAGATTTTCTTAATATTGACAAAACATCAATATAACATATATAATTTGTTAATTCATGTTGAAAACTTCGCATCAAAAACTTGTTTCTCAACATTTTCATGAGGCTTTGAAATTTGGCTATTTATTGAAGAAGGTTATGGAAAAAATCCGAAACGGGTGATCTCCCATGTTATCATACATCATTGAACTCATCTTTCTGAGCTCTACCCAAGGACGGAATAGAATTCAGGGTATTCTATTTGTGAAAATATATGTTTTGTATGTCAAAGTCATATAGACATTATACCTAAAAAAATTCTATATGACTATGAACAACTCCGATTCTCTAAATTTTTTTGTATCTATTCAACAATGAGATTCTTAGCTATTGAGTAAAATATAAACAATCACCCTGTACGTAAGATAATGATCGTATAGGTGTGATTCGTTATTTGACATTCAGTGTACATTCAAAAAGGAGGTTTTCGATTGATCCTGTGATGATTATCCAATGGATGTAAAATTATTGTATGTACATATACAGGGTGTCCGGAAATTATGCGCAAACAATCAAGGGAGTGATTCTACATAATGAAATAAGAAATTCATTTCATATGAACCTAGGTCCGGAAATGCATAGTTTTCAACATACAGTGTGTTGAAACTTTTAAAAAAGATCGTTTTTTTATGAATATCTCAAATGTCTTTCCTCCGATTTTCTTGAAATATGGCAATAATATTTTTTGTCATGAGGGGCTGAAATACCCATAATTCAATTGGAATCTTGCGGAATCCAGTGGCGTCCCGATGGGCAACCTACCGAATATTATTGTCAATAAAATGTGCGTGTTTTTTGAATTCTGTATCTTCGTAACCTATTGACCAACTGAAAATACAACATTTTGGTCTCTTCAATTGTATTGCTATTTTGCTGCTTTTCAGTGGAAAAAATAAATTCCAATTCATTGTATAAATTTGTGCAGAATATTGCTTCTAAAACAGGGGTGAAATCAAATGTGTGATCGATGTCCATAGACGTAGAATAAAAATGAAGAATAATTATCTACAAATATTTTATAATACATGTTTGACACACTCTACACTCAGTATATGTACCTGAAGTAAGATTACGTAAGCGAAATCATATTTTTTATATAGATGTGTCATCCTGCTCACCTTTTGTAAGATGCCAGGAATCTGTAAATGAGCATATTAACTGCTGGGATACTGACATTTTCATTTCTAGTAGTAGCAGAATAAAAGGCACTGTTGCTAATTATTAATTATTATCTACTTAATTGTATATTTTCCACTTTTTAAAATAATTAACGTGACCATGTTAGTGGACTGTGTTGTGAATCTTTAATTTTTTTAGGTAATTTCGGAAGTAATTTCAAGTGTGTACTGTATGTGTACTGTATGTGATAAAACTGTTATTCTGTAATTGGGCTGAAGCCTGTTGTTTTAGCAGTATAAATAAATGAAATGAAATATTGAGAACTATGTATTCTTGGTCCAGGAAGGCGTAGTTTTCGATAATACAAAGTGTGTCAAACATGTATTATAAAATATTTGAAGAAAATGAATCTCCATTCTTATTCTATGTCTATGAACATGGATCACACATTAAATTTCACCCCTGTTTTTGGAACAATGTTTTGCACAAATTCATACAATGAATTGGTATTTATTTTTTCCACGGAAACGCGGCAAAATAGCAAAACAATTCAGGAGATTAAAATGTTGTATTTTTAGTTAATCATCAGGATATGAAGATGAAGAATTCGAAAAAATCAGTGGCGCACATTTTATTGACAATAATATTTGGTAGGGTGCCCCAGGGACGCCACTGGATTTCACAATTCCAATTTAAATTATGGTTAAATCAGCCCCCCCCCCATGACGAAGAATCTCATTGCCAAATTTCAAGGAAATCGGTTGAAGGATATTTGAGATATTCATAAAAAACCGATTTTTTTTTTAAAAGTTCAACACACTGTATCTTGAAAACTATGCATTTCCGGACCCAAGTATATATGAAATAAATTTCATGTTTTCAGATTCAGAATCACACCCTTGATTTTTTGCGCATAATTTCCGGACACCCTGTATATAGGTAGGTACATATAAAAAGGAACGTTCCGATGTACATCCACAAAAGTTCTGTAATGAAGGTTCCATCATACACTCTTTTTTCATTTGGCGATTTGCATTTGTTTGTTCAAAGGGTGCAAAAAGATTGTACAGATGGAACCCTACAACTTTTATATTTGAAGATTTCTTCACTTCTTATAGTTGAAGATGTAGGTAGGGATCAAAATATAAAGAGACATCCTGTACAGGTGAGACCCCCCCCCCCCTTCCACCGACTTTAAAGTCGGTCTCCCGACAATAAAGTTGGGGATCCGACTTTAAAGTCGGGATCCCGAGATTAAAGTCGGGGGGGGGGGGGGGGGTCCGACTTTAAAGTTGGGATTTGAGAAAAAAAGTATAGGTGGCCCTTCAGTGCCTTAGTACAAAAACCTAGTCTTGACCAGACGAATCCAGTCAATTCCTACTCAACTCAAAAACTATTTACTTTTGCATATTGCATATTATGGTTGAATTCACTCCCTACCACATCCTCTATCACATCCCCAAAGGAATGTATGGAATTACCAATATCCTGTATATATTCTGATTAAACTCTTAAATCCTTCAATTACTATTCAGTACTTCTTAAATCCTTCAATTACTCTTTAGTACTTCTCAATTACGATAACCATTTTGAAATATTTTTTTAATATTTTCATTACCTTCGAATATCACATACTTTAAATATGGTGTGTACTTTAATGAAAGTTGTTTGCCCTTGGGTTGAATAAAATATGATTAAAAGATTTTAGTTGAATCAAATAAAAAAATAAGTCAATAGAAGCTCAATCTCTCAGTTTTCTACAAATTCATTTAGCTAATGTTGGTAGAAACGAATTTTCTTATAAGGAATTTTTCAACTAATAGAATGATTTCAACTTGGAAGGTAAATGTAAATGTAATTTTACCAATACAATCAAAAAATGTCCAGTGTAATTTCATGCTCCTCCCCCAAAGGAGGAAAAAATGTGTTTAGTTGCTATGGTACTGATACAAAATACAGGCTTTTGATTAGCAGAAAATGTTGGGTGTGGATCTTACAGTCAAATATTCAGACCAAGTACGAATAGATTATACAAAGTAGTTGCCAAAATCAAGGCAACATCCTGTATCTGCTATGAAATATTATTGTCACATCAGTAGGGAGCCAGATGCAGAGTGATTTAAAACCACAAGTTTACATATAAATTTGAAATATCCTGTATATTTTGGTGATCACAAAAATCAGAATTCAAAATATAAAAATATGGTGTTTCATTAAAAAAAATTGATTCATGATTACACTATCTAGGATAAACCTGTGAAATTTCTGATAAGGGCCATGAAACTGCCTCATTCATTGGCATTTACTCTTTTTTTTTGTGAAAAACAACATGATGGATGACCATATGACCATGTACCTACTGTACTCATTAAATTAAAATGCTCTCATGATGCTCTTAAAATGATATAAGTACATTGTAATAATAGGACAGAAGGGATCATCCATCAACTAGTAAATAATATAATAATATATGAAAATCAACAAACCATCACTCTCATAATCTTTTCTTTTATCACTATGTTCATGGCTGCGTTTAGAGTATCCATCACTCTCATATTTGGATGCTTTTTCCCTTTTCCTATCCTTGTGATGATGTTTCTTGTGCTTGTGCTTCTTTTCTTTTGGGCCGTCTCTGCCATCATAGCTTTCTTCATGTCGACGCTTATGAGATTCTTTATCCTTAGATTTCTTACTACTGGCACCCATTATATATCAATATACTTAGTTTTTGATACAGGATTTAATAATTATATTTACAATTTGAAAAAACTTCAAAAATTGTTTTCGTTTTATTTCGTATCAACATCAACTACTAACCTCAAAAAGTGACATGAGATGAGACATGAATAAATGTCTGTTAGTCCGTCCGGCTGTATTCTAATTTTGGCTTATGCATGGAAGGAGCCATGCAAGGCTATTTATTAAGTAAGTACCTACTATTTATATAGTCATTCACAAATAGTTTTCATTCAATTTTGAATTTTGAATAGAATCGAATCGGATCATAATTACAAAATTCGTTCGTCATATTGAGTCCGCTATCGTGAATTTCCCAATTTTGACAAAAAATCATGAAATTTAACTCCGAAAATCCTCACAGATACCAATCTCAAATAGAATCAGATCATAATTAGAAATTTATTTTGCTATATATTGGATCCGTCATCTTGAATTTTCCAAGATTGATGAAACATTCATTATCTTCAACTCCGGAAACCCCCAGATACCTTCCAATTTTGAATAGAATCGGATCATAATTACAAAACTCGTTCGCCATATGATCTTCCTCAACAAGTAAATACCCTGTACGTACATATTATTGAAATTTTGAATGATTTTCTGTAGCGCCCATGGTAGTGAGGTGACAGCAATGTCAGGGATGCCAAAACTGAAGTCTCTAGATCATTAAAAAATAATGCAGCTATGATCTGTCCACTCTGTTCACCGTCAAGTCCACCGTACCCTGTTAAGATGACTTTATCGTCAATTTCCATCAAGGGACCCTAGTTTTAGCTGGGTATATATTCAAAGTAATGTAAAAATATTGTGGAAGTTGGATTCGGATCAAAATAAACCAGCACAACTTTATTTAAAATTAGAAGTTGACAGCTCGATTATATAATATTTTTAGTCTTATTGAAGACTGCCTTAGTAAATGCCCCAGGATTTTTGTTGATAGGGCGATTGTAAAACTTGGCAAAAACGGATGATTCCTTAGGCTTCACACCATCCCGCCACTCTTCTGATACTAGAGAGTTGAAGTAATCACTGTACGTAGGCCTCCACGTAAACGTTAAAGTACGAAAAATAACGTTTACGTATTGTCTTCAAATTGAGTTGAAGTCGTCACTGTCATCGTAACGTTATAACAAATTATGTTATCGGTTTGTATTGGTCAGTTTTGGATGTTTGTTTAGATCAAAACATTTATTCGTGTTAAAATGGAAGGTTGCCCTGATGTAGAACTCCTTAAGGATCCCGAATTTGATGATTTTGACTCATCGGCATATTTCGAGTTTGGTTCGGTTAACGTACGTTGATATTTAAGGTATACGTGAAAGTACGTGAGATAACGTATACCCGTAAGCCCACTACCAACGCGAACGTAAAAAATTGAAAAATGCGCATGCGTAGCTGTCAATTTATACGTTAACGTTAACGTTCGAGTCAACACTTCAACTCTCTACTATCTAGACTGCTATAATATGTCATATCTCAATTCTCAACAACACGAATATCTCATCCAAATTGTTCGCCTAAAAACGCTTCTGACCATCTGCGGCACGTGATCAAGTGGGCGTGTCCATCTCGCCTGGAGGGTAAACAAAAAATTTGGCTCCATTTGTATATAATTACCTAAAATGTCCTTATAAGGATCCGCTCGATGTGACCAGCACAATGTTTATCGATTTTTTTCCTTTACAAATTAGATAACTACTCTTGTACCTTTTTTCGTTTCTATTTATTCTTCGCAAACTTCAACTCTTTTTTTTACCTTTCAAAAACATGTCATCTCTCAAAAAATACAATATACAAGGTCATTCGAAATCACTAAAGTTACAAATTCAAATAAAAACCCAACATTCTCCCCCCTGTATTCAAATACGGCCTATCCTTGAATACATCCTTCCAAAATATCAATCGGGCACAACTTGGCAACAGGCCGACGATAAATGTTGTCTCTGATCTTGATATCGACGACACGAACTTTCCCATCTTGTCCTGGATGGACTGCAACAATTCTTCCTAGCGGCCAATTATTTCTTGGAAGTTTGTTATCCATGACGACAACTATTTTCCCCTTCTCCAAATTTTTCTTGTCCTGGATCCATTTCGACCTTCTGCTTAGTGTTGGTAAATATTCTCGTATCCAACGATTCCAAAACTTTTCAGCCAATTGCTGTGAAAACTGCCATTGTTTTTTCAAATTGAACTCCATTTCTTTTTCAGTAAACACGATAGGTGGCTTAGCTACACTAGATGTGCCTATGAGGAAATGATTAGGAGTAAGACTCTCGGGATCTCCACAGTCTGAAGAGACATATGTAAGAGGTCTGCTGTTCACGGTATGTTCCACTTCGGCTAGTAATGTCAATAAAACTTCTTGTCTTGGCGCTTTTTCTTCAGGCCATCTTTAACTGAACGTACCATACGCTCCCAAGCTCCACCCATGTGTGGACTTCCTGGCGGAATAAATTTCCATTCGATCTCATGAGCTATCATTTTTCTCGAAATCAAATTTTCATCCAAATTTTGAATGGCTTCTTTCAGTTCCTTGTTCGCAGAAGTCATGTTTGAACCATTGTCACTCCAAATTTCAAGAGGATGTCCTCTTCTGGAAGTAAACCTTCCAATTGCTAAAATAGTCGAGTCAGTGGTAAGAGATTCTGCGAGTTCTATGTGAATTGCCCTAATTGAGAGACAGGTAAAAATCACTCCGTATCTCTTTTCTCTCCTACGTCCGATTGAAACTTCCATGGGTCCGAAATAGTCCATCCCTGTAAAACTGAATGCTCTGGGTGGTCTCTGCAGTCGCATCTTTGGAAGTTGGCCCATTTCAGGAACTTGAGGCTTCGCCCTTTTCAATCGACAGAAATTGCAATATTTGATTATATTTGTCACTAATTTCCTGGCCTGTAATATCCAGAATTTTTGCCTTATTTCATTCAGAGTTTGTTGAACACCAATATGATTGTTTCTGGAATGATAGAATTGTACAAGTAATTTTGTGAAAGCATGTTTATTGTCTAGAATGATGGGCCTTTTTGTTTGAAATGAAAACTCGGTGGAGTTGTCTGTCCTTCCTTTCAAACAGATGATGCCATTTTCTAGATATGGAGACAACTGATGAATTCTACTACTTTTTTCTACAGTTGCATTTTTCTTTAAAAGGCGTATTTCCTCTGCAAAACATTCTTCTTGTACTTTCATACACCAACTTCTTTCTGCTTTCTGCAATTCTTCTCTTTCCAACTCTTGTTTTTTCAATCCACTTCCTCTTTTCTTGATGTTATCTATAAATCTGAAAACAAAAGCTGTACTTCTTATCAATTTCATGTAGTTCGAGAATCTTGTTATTTCTGGTAGATAATCTATATTTTCTGTAACTGAAATTAACAAGATGAATTCTTGCTTGAGTTCGAATTTTTCGGGTTCTTCTTGAATGTCTGTGTCTTTCTCCTTCTCTTTCTCTTGCTTTGGCCAGCACTCTTGATTCAAGTATAAAAAATTTGGACCACGAAACCAAATGCTATTCATTTCTAGATTGATATCTTTTGTGTCTCTTGTGGCCTCATCTGCAATGTTCAGACTAGTGGGAATCCAGTGCCATTCAGGAATTTTGGTATTTTCCTGTATTTCACCTACTCTGTGTGTGATGAATGTCTTGAACATTCTTGGTTCAGATCTCAACCAACATAGAACAGTCCTCGAATCTGTCCAATAGAAAACTTGATTTATTTGAAGCGAGTGTTCTTTTTTTATCATATTCGCCAACCTTGCACCCATCACTGCAGCCTGTAGTTCCAAACGAGGAATTGTCATTGGCTTCAGAGGGGCTACTTGCGTTCTAGACATAACAAGAGACACTTGAATTCTTCCATTTTTCTCAAATCGAAAATATCCCACAGCTGCAAATGCTTGCTCACTTGCATCGCAGAAAATGTGAAGTTGTAAATTGAAATCAGATGAAAAATTCATAGCATAACATCTTTGGATCTTCATTTCTTCAATGTTCTCAAACTCATCACTCCATCGTTTCCACCTCATATATTGATTTTCGGTCACTTCATCATCCCAACCTATACCACTCCTCCATATATCTTGTAGCAGGATTTTTGCTCTTATTACGAAGTGTGCAAGGAGTCCTAGGGGATCATAAAGGGACATGACGATCTTGAGTATTTCCCTTTTCGTTGGCTTTTTTTTTCCTATGCATATCTCATTCATTCTATCGACTTGCAGAGAATATTTCAGATGGTCAGTAGAAGGAATCCACTTGAGTCCGAGAATCCTTTGGGATATGTTGTCACTTCCTTCCAGAAGTTTTTCATCACCTCTCAGTTCTTCTGGAATATTACTATAAACTTTCTTGGAATTACATACCCATCCTCTCAGTTCGAAACCTCCTTGTCTATGAATATGGATTACTTCATTCACCAGACGAATAGCCTCTTCTTCTGTATAGACACTATCCAGATAATCATCCATATAATGTCTATTGATAATTCCATCAACTGCCTGAGGATACTTCTTCTGGAATTCGGAAGCATTTCGATTTTTCACAAACTGTGCGGAAAAAGGTGAACAAACAGAACCAAAAATCATTACTTTCATTTCATAGGTAGCGATTTCTTCATTCTGGACGTTTCTCCAGAGGAATCGTTGTGCAGCACGATTTTCTTTTCTTATCGTAATCTGGTGAAACATCTCACGAATATCTGCCGAAAAGGCTACATCTTTTTCTCTGAATTTGAAAATTACGCCGACTAGAGAATTGAACAAATCAGGACCTCTCAGCAAGAAATCATTTAGACACATATTATCTACCTTAGCTGCCGCATCGAAGACGAATCTCAACTTTCCTGGCTGGCGACTCCAAAATGTGGCAGATACCATTTCCTTCTCGGTTCTTCTATCTCTTCATCCACTTTTTCTGCATAATTCTTGTCCAGATATTCCTGTATCTTTCGTCTATAAGCTTTCGAGAATTCCGAATCACGAGCCATTCTTTTTTCTATATACTCCAACCTCTGAATCGCTCTCTGTTTACTTTCTGGTAAAACCAATTCATCTTTCTTCCAAAATAAACCACAT